ATACATTTAACTTGGTCGCAGAATCTCTACTATGATATCATTGTCAGCCATCACAATGCAAACTGGCTTACTATCTCCATTTTTGGACAAAAACGGTGCGTTTTTATATATAAGATAACAACATTTCTGTCTTCCACCTTTGCGTTCATGTCCTGAGGTCCTCATCTTATAATTAATTCGGTCACACACAATTATATATACGTACGTGGTCAAAATATTACAAGTTCATGACCCTGACAATCTTTGAGTTAATTAATTGACTTGATTAAAAATTGGTACAACAAGTATTTTATGATCAGTGGAGTTCTATAAGGTAAACATGTGCTTTAGGTAGACATCTTATCTTACATATATCTTATAAAATAATTAACAATAACATATTTAGTACAAATGAATAGGCTGCATTTCCTGAATGTTACATTGCACGTGATCAATATACGCACACCTTTATAACATGCATGTAATAATATGTCTCGAGATATGCAGACAACGATTAAACTGGTTTTATAATGTTCCATGCATCACCCACTCCGAGTATGTTTCATTTGCCCTCTTTAATTAGTCATGATCAAGTACATTTCCTCATTGCATGTGCTACCTTCCAATTTCGATCAAGGCTTCAACAACCACTATATATATATATATATTAGTTATTATCAACTATATTAATTACAATGGCAACCGTAATTTAAATAGGAGGTTTCTTTGGGAAGCTCCAAAAGCAATTGATCAACGTTACGTCTTTGCAAGGTTTTTTTTTTTTTTTTTTAACTTTCTAATACTAGGGACAATTCTTTAGATTATCAAACACACTATTTCATTTGTGCCGAATATTCAAGCTTAAGACCTTGACAATTTAACAAGATAACATGAAGCACATGTGTTAGTGTACATAGGAGAATCTGATTAGGATTCCAAGTCTTCTTGGGTTAGATTTTTCGTATTCCCTATGAACTTAGTTTACTTGTATGCCAAGTCACTATTATGCTCTAATATTATGAATAAAGTTGAAGCGATAAGTAACAAGAGAGTGACTCAACTCTTCTAAGCTTTCTAGGGTAATTAACTTTCCGATGTGGAGCAACTCTACATATCACCACACTTCCAACTTTGATTTGGATTCAATGGTGCTTAATCCATTCTAGTAAATAACAACCAAATGTTATCAAAGTTATCAAAATAACAACAAATTAAAATAACAATTAGAGTGCAAAAAAAAAAAATTAACATAATATATTCTTATATTACTCAATATTATAAGTTTATGTTATATTTAATATTGTTAATTTAACATAAATGCTTATAAATATTATTCATTCCATTTTCTCATAACAACTCAAATTATGTTCATCTAATCCATTCTAGTAAATAACAACAAAAAATTATCAAAATAACAACAAATTAAAATAACAATTACAGTGCAAAAAAAATTGATTCAACTTAATAAATTTATTTATTAAAATATTATATGAGATAACATAACTAATTATTTTTTAATTTTGGGTTAAACTTTTTTATTTTTTTTTGTTTTTGTTTTTATCCTTGTTCCTTTTTTTTTTTGTAAGTTAAAATTTTATTTTTATGTTGGGTGGGAGGTTTCCCGGTTTTTTTGCAGGGGAATGGGTTGGAAGATTTTGTCAGTGGCATGTCAACTCATGCTTGGACTGGTTTTAACCGATGCAAAATTATACTTTCGAGACTAATTTTCTGTCAAACACAATGCTTATTTCGACGCAAATGTTTTCCTATTTCGACACAAACTTGCTCTTATTTCGACGTTAAGAAAACCTGTCAGGCTAACGTCGGTTAAAACCGACGCAATGTCACCTTATTTCGACGCAAAGTGACCTATGACTGAAAACTATGTCAGACTTTCAGTCAAAACTATGTCAGGCTATAATATAGGTCGAATCAGATATAGTGGCGATTTTAAGCGACACAAACCTGTGCTTATTTCGACGCTATGCAAACTAACGTCGGTTTTAAACGACGCACTAGGCCCTTATTTCGACGCTATGCTAGATAACGTCGGTTAAAAGCGACGCAATAGCAGGCTTTCTGTCAAATGTGCAGGCAGGTGTTCTGTCAAAAGTGCAGGCTTTCTGTCAAAAGTATGTCAGGTTACGTGTGGGGAGGTTTAGTCAGTGATTGTGTCGGTTTTAAGCGACGTAATGTGTTCATATTTAATCTTCTTTCGACGCTAAGTTGTTATCCATATTTAATCTTCTTTGTCTCCCTTTACTTTCTTGATACCACTTCTGTCTCTCGTCTCTATCCCCCATTTCTGGCTTCCTCTTTCCCCCATTTCAGCCATATTCCTTCTCCTTCCATTAAGTTTTGCAATGGATAATTCCCGTGAAGATCAACGTTCTAAGGAACTTCATTTGGAAGAGGACGAGGGGGATGCTGGTTCTTTTTTGAATTGTTATTAGTCTCAGTTTTTTTTTTTTTTTTTTTTTTTTGTGTGTGTTTGAACTATTATTATTGCTAATCTGAAAATATACATTTGTTTCCTTGTTTTTAATTGTGTGTTTGTATTAACAAGGTACATCTCAACGGAGGCGTGGACCCTCAATTCCTAAATGGACGAAACAGCTTTGTTCGTTTGATTCGTCTGGAAAATGCATTAGCGATAATGCTAGTGCTTTTTCAAAACATGTAGCAGCGGAGGTTAGGGACTATAGAAATCTGCCGTTGGAGAAAGATTGGCGTAAGGTTACGGAAGAAGATAAGGAAGCTTTCTGGAATAGAATAAAGGTATAGATGTTTTTATTTTTAGTTGAAAATAGAAGAATAGGTCAATGATTGTAATAATAATTGACTAGCGTGATTTTTTTTGTTTTTTGTTTTTATGTATGTAGGGAAATATTTTTTTTGAAGATGCAGATATGGTAAAAATGCCTTTGATCCGTCATATGACGCTTAAGATTGCGGAGCATGCGCACAAAGAGTTTAGAAATAAGTTAAAAAAAAGTATTATACTAAAAGAGCAGAAAAGGTGCGCAGCGAGCCTCCTCCTGATGTGATTCCTGCCCAGTGGGATGATTTGTTGGCATATTGGAATAGAGACAAAACAAAGGTAAACCTTACACGATTTATTTCGTTATAACTTTAAAGTTGCCTAATATAATCTTTTTTTTTTTCGTTCGTTTTTTTTCAGGAGGTTGCTGAAAAAAATAAGATTAATCGGGGATTGAAATCAATGAACCATACTACTGGTACAAAATCCTTTGCAAGAGTGCGGGAAGAATATGTATGGATTGTACATTTTGAAGAGATGATTAATTTTAAATAATTATATTTATTTTTAGTATGAGGTTTGCTTAAGTTGTTTGTATGAAATTTTATTTTTGATAAAGCGGAAGAAGCATGGGAAAGAAGCAGATCCTGTAACCTTTTTTCGTGAATGTCATACATGAAAAGATAAAACATGGATTGATGAAACATCGGAGCGTACAGGGGTAATTGATTTTTTCGTGTTAGTATTTGTTTTTATTAGTATTTATTATCTATAGCTTATTTTTCTGTTTTACGATTGAATTTTTGTTTTTAAAAATTGTAATGCAAGTCAACAATGGAGAGCAATCTGCAAACATTGATTGAGTCGGGCCAGGAGGATAATGAAGATCTTAGGACCCAAGTTTATGTTGATACTATGGGTCCTGAGAGGCATAATAGAGTCAGAGGATACGGTCATGGTGTGACTCCTGATATGGTGTCTTATGCCTCTTCTTCATCTTCTACATCAATTTCCTCCAGGAGATCATCTAAGAGTGCAATGGCGTTGCTGATGACTCAAAATAATGAGTTGAAAATGAGGGACGAAAATAATAATAAACGGATTTCGGATCTAGAGAACAAGCAAAATCAGTTGTTTGCATGGTTTTTTCAAAGATTTCAGCCACAACCACCGTATAGCCCGGGAACCCAACAATCAGGCCAGAGTCAACCTCCTCAACAGTCGGGCCAAAGTCAGCCTCCCCCTGCATATCCATATGCTGGCCATAATCAGCAACCTCCATATCCTGTGTATCCGATGCCTGCGCAGCCCATGCCATACATGCAGCAGCCGCCCATGCCATACATGCAGCAGCCACCTTATCAAGTGCCAGTATATCGACCTGAGATGGTTGCTCCTAGTGGATTTTTTCCTGAAGTTCCAGCTGGAGGGTTTTCTGGAATGCTTGCAGGTGTTGGATTTGATGTGGACTTGTCGAGGATTTTTGGATCAGATGGAGGATCTCAAGGAGGAGGATCTCAAGGAGAAGGTTCTCAAGCAGAAGGGTCTGGACGACGTTCTGGTGCAGATTCGGTTGGGTAGTTTATTTGGTTCATTTTCTTGTCGGTTAAATATGACACTATAATCGTTCTATTTTTTTGTTTTTTTATGTTATGTTTGTAATGTCGGATTTGGTGTTTGTTACGACGGAAGAATTTTTGTATTTTATGTGGAATGTTAGATGTATAGTTTGACATTACTGTTCTTGGTATTTATTTTCATTAATGTTTATTTAGATCTTAAAATTTATTATTTTGATTATATAATTTATTTAAGTTGGAATTAATTGAAATTGCATGCAGTTGGCCGTATGTTTTTTATTATTATAAACAAATATAGTGTCGGTTAAGACCGTTACTAGATTTTATATTTTATTTATTTAATTGTTATCTAACGTCGGTTTAAGGGATATTTTATTCATTTAATTTTATTATAATGTCGATTAAAAGCGACAGTAGGGATATTTTATTTATTTAATTTTATTGAGTATGCGTCGCTTTAAACCGACGCTATGTTAATGTCGCTTTAAACCGACGCTGTGTAGTGACGGATTAAGCCCAAAAAGCGACACTGAAGCCCTTTCGCGACGCTAGCAATAGTGTCGCTATTCCAATGCGACATTACATTGTTTAATGTCGGATTTGTGCCAAATTTCCGACAAAAATTTGATTTCTCGTCGGTTTTTCCTCCGCCGGTGATAGTATATATTGTAGTAGTGCCAGCAGCCCCATAAGCATATATTGCGATGTTATAGAGAAAAGAATCGAGCTTTACATCAGCTTTTGTGAATTTCTCACAGGACTCGAGCGCCAAAGCATGCATACCCACCATAGAGAAGACACTGGTGATGACAGCTTGCCTAGAGTAAGGTTTCCCTTCATGGTAGGATGACTCTAACTGCGTCACTGCTTCAATTGAAACACCTTTTTTCAATATTGTGAATAATACTTTAAAAGTCCCGACGTCTGGCAAGAGTTTCCGAGTTACCATCTCATGCAATAATTCCCCACATTCACGGAGCTGCCCGTTAATGGCATAACATGACATTACCTTGTTAAATGAACCGCAGTCCCTCACCAGACCTGACAGTTTCATTTCCTCTGCTATATCAATGGCTTCATCAAGCATGCCCACACTCTTGTAAAGATATATCATGGTCGCATATGTTATCTCATTTGCCCAACCCTTGGCTCTCAGTTTTTCAAAAATCAATTCGGCTTCAGACACCATCCCATGGTCTGCATAAAGATCGATCATGCTGTTAGATGCAACAATATCTCGGGCACCCTCTAGATCTTTCAACCTCTCATAGAGTACTTTCGCTCCATCAAGGGAGTCCACCTTACTATATGCCTTTAGGAGGGATGAAAGAACTATTTGATTTGCAGAAATCCCAGACTCTTCCATGTGACGAAAATACTTCAATGCTTCTTCAACTCTGCCATTTTCTACAAATCCGTTGATCAAAGAACCATATACAAATTCATTTGGTTTTAATCCCGAATTGACCAAGTCTTGGTACACATCAATTGCATCAGAAAGCTGGCCAAGGCGAGCACAGCATCCAATAAGAGCAGAGAAGGCTAGAGAGTGTGGCTTAAAACCCATTTCCCCCGCATTTCAGTTAAAACATCCCTTGCCTGGTCCACTAAGTCACCTCCTGAGAACATCTGAATGAGAGAATTATACGTGCAGTTATCGGGCCAAGTCCCATGATTTCTCATGTCCTTGAAGAGTGAAAAAGCTTTATCATAAAGCTTTGCCTTACCATAAGCTTTGATCATGACGTTATACTCCATAACATCCTTCTTTTGTCTTACCAAGTCTTTCTTCCTACAGAATACCGCCTCAGCTTCGGTCCAAAATCCCCTTTCAGCATATGCATCTATAATTGCTGCACATGTCTTTGATGATAACTCATCACTCAACTGGCATTTCTCGTAAAACAACTTAGCCCGATCAAGCTTTCCTTTAGCAATATACATCTTGATGACACCAGGAACAGAATGCTCATCGACACGCACACCAGATTTCTCCATATCCTGAATCACAGTCTCCACTTCTCGGACCATGTTTCTCTCACATAACACGTGAAGAATAGTCCTGTGAGAGACGACATCTGGGGGAAAGACCCACCTCTCTGATCTTCCTATAACAGTTCAGAGCAGCATCAATGTTCCCCATATCGGCATACAGAGATAGAAAAATGTTATAAGTTCTTGTGTCAGGAGAAATTCCCCTTTCTTCCATCTTGCTAAGCAAAGTTTCCGCTTCCGACAAATGCCCATTACTTCCACAAGTAAAGATCATAGTGTTGAAAGTTATGACATCCATTGGGACCCCAGATTTCATCATTTCTCCAAACACATTCGCTGCATCATCCAGACGCCCTGCCTTCCCGTACAAATCAATCAAAGCATTATATGTCGATGCCTGTCGTGGTTTTTGAACAGAGTTCTGTGTATCCAATGAGGTCGTAACCTTTGATGTGGGAATTCTCCCACCTGTCTTGAAAAGTTCAGTGGACAAGAAATGCTTAAAACTAATAGGCTCTGAGCCATAACTATTCACAGAGTCACCCATTGAATTCAAATCTAGTTCATCGAGCTCAATCTTCCCGGTGCACCAATCCTTATAAAACTTATCAGCCCTATCAAACTCTCCTGCATCCTTCAAGGCCCGAACAACCGTATTCATTGTAACATCATCCGGAAACATTCCCCTCAGTTTCATGTGCTTAATCCACAAAAGTGCTTCCTTCACAAGTCCGGCTTTCCCATACACATCAACGAGCATTGCATACGTGTTGTTTGTTGGCAGAACACCCCTTTTCGCCATTTCAATCCAACAAAGCCTCAATTCATCCCACTTCTGAGCCCTACCCAATTTCCGAAGCACCACATTATAGTGTATTACATTGGGAACATACTCTTTCTGTGCCTTGAACCACTCGAAAACACGCAGAACCCTTTCCCAGCTTTTTTGTTCCTTGAGAATAACAGTCTGTTCTTTCGGATTCAAATTTTCACCTAACGAATTAAGGGTCTTTTCAACATCATTTTCGGACTCTATACACCGCAAAATCGTAGACAACACGCCTCCATACCCCTTCTTCTTACCGTTAATCGAAGAAACTTTCGTGGGCAAAACCGAAGATTTCGAATGACACTGAATCTTAAACCCTACAAAAACCCTAGAACCTCTCAAATTCTGTTTCTGAGCTCGTGAATTCACAATCTTTTCGAAATTCGGAGAATTGGGTAAGTTAAATTCTAGAAAAGCCCTAGCTCTGAAAGGACATTGATGGGGGTTTCTAAGCTTACTTGGTGAAAAAGTGCGACGACTGTGAATTGAGCTCTGGAAACTTTCTTGCCCTAATTCCATGGAGCTGTAACTCTGGCTGTGAAGCATCATTGCCTGCTTTCTCCTAGGACTCTTCGGCGGTGGGGGCTCGACGGATTTTTCAGCTCAGAGTTTTATTAGGGGTTCTCCTGCTGCAGCCCCTGGAAGTCGTTCCTCTGGTGTAGGAACAATATGAGCCTCAGGGCTAAAACCGACCAGATATTTTGAATCCTTATATTGAATTTCAATTGCAGCTTAAACAAAGCGCTTTCTTAAAATGCATTTAACATGTGCTTTTTCTTGAAGTACTTTTATGAAGGGGAAACACTTATAAGTTTTTTTTGGTTTTTTTTTTCTTTTTCAATTAGAATCAGAAGCGCTTTTGATGGTCAAGAAGCATTTAAAATCAAAATGCAAGTACATTTATTTTATGTCATATACTCTTGATCATAAAATAGTTTCAAAGCTGAAAGTGAAAACAGTTACCGAACAAGTTATAGGTTTGAGTTCTTTATAAATGAATACAGAAACTGAAGTTGTAGCAGATTCAAAACTGTAGAGACAATAACTACACACGAAGAAACCAAAGAGCAACATCCATCTGACTGCACAGCCTAACAAGTTACGTTTAACTATCCCGAAAATCATCTGGTTTGTGAAGAAACCATCGACCGACAATAAAATAATTCCTAACAAGTTACTATCCCAAGTCCATAGATTTTGGCCACTTCATATTGCTGCCATCATGGTGGTTCGTGCAGCCTCCCGCTTCACCTCTTCTGCCTTTCCGCTGCCTCGGAAATACGTGTATACTTGCTGCAAAAACGACGCACGAAGAGTCAGTTTCTCCGAAGAGGGGGAAGAAACGCAGAGTCAAGGGCAAGAGAAGAATGCAAGTTTGTTAATCGTCGAACCTGAATAACCCAAATGCTGAGAAGCGTTTCCAAGACGTACAACGCAAATCCAATGAAGTAGAGTATCTGAAATGAAGAAACAAAGTCTGAGTCTTCACCGCGTCATCAACTCAAAAGAAAACTTCAAGATCAAACCACTGACGGAGCAATCCAACAGTTCAAGTTTTTCAACTGAATTGAAAAATTCGTGTGACTAACACTGCTAGATTGCTGTCTAGCTGAAAAACAAAGTTGTCTGCCGCTTGCAATTACTTGAGGACAATATGGAAGCCAACATTTAATACTGAAAGCCTGAAACTTACCCCAACCGAAACGTTGTAACTCATCAGTTCTATTGCAGGCAAAATACCCCTGTCAACATGATCACACCGCAGAAAAATGAGCTTCAGAGCAGAAAGAAAACAGTGTTCAGGAGGAAATACGGTTAATATACATTTCTTCATTGCGGAAATAGAATACGACTACAAGAAGCCAAATATTGGGAGAAAAGTTTAGCTAACAAGGTCTGCACGAAATCATACTTATAGAAGTAGCCCACATATGGATGCAAATTATCCACTAAAGCAATGTTAAGCTGAAAATTATGATTTTGAATGATGCATCCCTTATTCATTTTTCATTTCTGCCTCGTTCCTCCCTAAACGAAAGAATGAATGTAACCGAGCGATAAGTAAACCTTGTAGACTGCACAGTAAAGAAAACTTACGTGATAGATTTCCCTTTTAAGAAGATTGGAGGAGCAATTGCAGCGTAAATGCAAAAAGCAATATGAAGCTGCAAAAAGAAAATCAGGGCACAAAAGTGAGCCAATTTTCACATCTTGAATGCAGAAAATATAACTGCAGTAAGAAAAAAAACTCACCAGATAAGACAAGAAAAACCCAGCAAAACTTAGAGCACTATCAGTCCTGTAATAGTTGGTACACAATTACAACTATGAGACCTAATATGTTAGGATGAACAAATAACAGGACGAAAAAAAGCATAAGATAAAAGATATGTCGGACAAATGACCGAGAAGTGCACAATCATTAAATGCATAGGCCTTGAGCCTCATATACAGTTCAGGCATAGTGATATACAACAAGGTCATATCCATGGAATCGTAAGTACCTCATAGCACGATAAAGAGGGCGATACCAGACGAAATAGGCTACAGGAACAGTTGCTAGGAGGTAGATTATAGCCAGAAGCCAAATTATTACACCTGCAAGAGGATACAAGTTCAGACCAAATTTTGAGTTCATTTATAATGGTTAATAGGTCTACACTAAGTCGCAGATCAAACCTTCTCCTTTGATCCAGGCTACAGTAACTGCCAGAATATTCCAGAAGAGACACACAATCAAACCTGAACAGTGCCATAAACTTAGTCAACTTAAACAACTACAGAATTTTTTTTCATTTAGTAGTTAGAAGATCTTTTGGTACCAAAACAAGGTACGATATAAAAAGTTCAACAAGATTGTCTCAACCCAATCGAATAATGCAAAAGCAAAACCCAACTCTGAGAATTATAAGAGTAAATTTGAACAAATCATTCGATCTATATTGCTTCTAGATTCCTTTTTCTGGCAATGTTATAACTTTTGTAAGCAGTTTTAAACCCTAAACTACTAAAGTACATACAACAAAAAAAAGCGATCAACGAAAAATCTGCAATCAAATATCATCTGGAAACTGAGGCACCTGTGTGAACGATCACAAAGACAAATAAATAAAACTTAACCTACCCAAATATGTTGTGAACGCAACATACTGGATCTTCTGTAGATGGATTGGTATTTCATTTGCAATGTCATGATGGATGATGGGGAAAAATGGTGGCCAGTTCTTCTCCTCTATAACAACTCCAGCTGCAGAACAAAACAAGGGAAATCACAAATTTGGACTTGGGTGTCATAGTTTTTCACAAGCACATATCAGAAAAGGGTGAACCTTGTTTTATGGCATCTTCTTTCCGCTTTAGTTCCTGGAAAAGGACAATAAAATCGTAAACTCCACTTACTAAATAGAAGAGTAACTTGTTTAAAAGCATAAAAATTCTCATTCAAATCAATGTTGCAAGGACTGCTTAATGGTGTCCAAATAAAAACTTGGATCAAATATTTTGTTCACCAGAACATTCAATCGAAAGTGGTTGATTATTCTTGTTCTCTTTGCAACAAATGCGTGTAATGGTCTGGGAAATTTGTTTGTAAGATATTACCTGTTCCCTCTTTTTCAATTCAGCCTCTTTAGCTTTGAGTTCCTTCTCCTTTGATTGTAAACTCTATAGCAACAAAAATAATAAGAAAAACAGAAAACCATTAATTGCTTGTACAATAAGTTAATAACAGATGAACAAAAAGCCTTGACAATGTGATTCCACATCTTCCATATGCTAACTACTTTTGAATTGTCAAGAGGAATATCGATTGTTGCATTGCGATCATAGGGTTCCGGAGGAAGGGGCGAAAGCCTTGGATTTGCAGGGGCAACACCTCCACCTCCATTCTACAAATTCAACAAAAAGTAATAAGATGGAAAGTTACAAACGAAAGGAACTTTCTTTACAAATGCGATGTTCTAAACTACTCTAATCTACCGGAAGTGAACCGATACCAACTAGGATGCAACCAGTCAGATCAGATTCTCCAATTTCACATAACCCACAAACATTTTATTTCTTTCCTTTTCTTCGTTTTCTAAGAACCGAAATGGATCATCGAATAATCAAAACAAGCTACATTGCGGAATTCAATTCCCGGTGGAATCAAATTCCAAAGAGTAACGGGAAACGCATTGAACATTTCGCAGTCTGATCAAAAAAGTTTCAACATATCAGCAATTCCGATTCCAAAAACTCGTAACGTAAATGCAGGCCTGTAATGGAACTCACCGCAAAGGGATTGACCTCCTCGTCGGCGAAAGGGTTCGAATCGTATCGATTCATGGGAGCGAACCAGGAGATCCACGCTCTGGGGACTCTGTGATAACAATGGGATTCCTAGTCGGGAATGCGAGAGTTAGAGGCTTCGGGAATTGGAATCGCCGATCATGAAAAATGAGAGAGAGAGAGAGAGAGAGAGAGAGAGATTGAGAGGTTATTGTGGTCGATTGGTGAGACGAAGAGTGTACGTACGGCCTTGGTTTTAGTGGGAGCTGTTTGTTTCCTGGGAAAATTGAAACGGAAAATTAGAGAAAATATTATATATGAAGGCGTTTGGCGGGGAAGCGTGGCGTGGGGCCTTTTTTTTATTCCACGTGTAATATTTCAGACATTAAAAATTGGGAAGTAAAAAATGGCTTATTATATTAGCATATCAAATATTGTTGAATACACTCACATACTTAATACATCATATATTTACTTTTTCAATTGAAAGTTATCTTAATACACCCGACGTAATTTCCCTTAATACCCTCACACCTCACATTCTCAACATACACCCCACATTTTTTTACCTACACTCCACTCCACATTTTTTTTTTTTTTTTTTTACTCAATGAAACTAGGTTGAAGAAGAATGTGGGGTTGATAGAACGCCTCTATGAATCATTGGATTGAAGAATTTCATTGTATCTACAAAAACAAACAATCATATGTGCATTTGCGAGAGCTTTTGGTATCACAGCCAAAAAGGCGAGTAGCTTGACTTGGAAGCTCCTCTCCCTCCCTTCCTGTTTGGGTGTAATTTGAAGCATCATAACGAGAATCCGCAAGTTTTGAGTCCCCTTTGCGAAAATCGTCATAGCAAGGCAAATTTGTTGATTTCATACAGAGATGAAGCTATAGCGGTACAATGAATGAAAATCAGGAGGCTATTGATCAATATCCCTGGGCTTAAACGTTGTGATCAACGTATTTGTAGTTTCATTGATTTAGGTTTTATACTACAATAGAGGATGAGATTGGTTTTGAGAGAGTTGAAGAAAAATAATTGTAGGATATACATGTTAAAGTTGTGATTTGGGGTGTATTTAGGTTTTTTATTTAACTTTATGAGGTTAAAATTGTCATTGCATATTAGATATATAAGTGATTTAATATTAAATTTTAATATGAGATGTATTTAACATTATGTGGGGTGCTAATTAAAAAAACCTAAAAAATAAGTCATATTTAATAGTCATTTCTTTGTCAGTAAGATTTGGAGGCACAATTTTATGATTTTATCTAATTAAGTCTGTCACCTCACTAGATTTATTTTGGCTTATTTTTAGCTAAACCAAATTCAATTTTATTTTCACTTGCACTCTGTAACTCAAAAGTCACAACTCTACTTCTTAAAACTCGAAGTTCACTTCATTTTGTCTTCTGAACTCGATTTTGATCATATTTTGCCTCCTAAAACTTAAAAGTTGTCTTTATAAAACTCAAATTTTGTTTCACATTGTCTTAGATCTGTTAATTTCTTATGTGGATTTGATTTGGGTGCTCTAGGCTCATCAATTTCTTTTTTATTTTATTTTTTCATCTCTTCAATTTCTATTAAACTTAATATTCTCTACTTGTTGAATGTTAACACATAATAGAAAGTTATAATCAAATTTATTACACATGTGACATAGTCTTATTAAGTGTTGGAACGGGCATATGTTTAGAAGACGACTTATAAGTTTTAGAGATGAGAGAATCTACAAGTCAAAGTGAAACGAATTTTGAGTTTCAGGGAGTAAAACGATAACTTTTTAGTTACAAGAGATAAAGTGAAATCAAAATAGAGTTTCAAGAGGTGTAGCTAAAAAGAAGCAATTTATTTTCTTAATAGTATATTGATAGAAACTAAATTTGTATTTTAGAAGAGAATGAGATCGTCATGTATTTAGATTGGACTAGCACCTAAATGGATTTATATATATCTATACAAGAAAAAGGAGGAGCTATTTGCGTTCTACTCTTTGAGGCTTGCATTGTGGGAATGCATTAAGGGAGAGTGCAAAGCGGTGATTAAGTAAAACCACAATCACTAAGGTATCGAATTTGTTTTAACTATTTAACACCAATTAAAATAGCTTCAATTAAGACCAATCAAAATGAATTCAATGCGGACTTGGTTTTCTTAAGGCGGCTGATTTTGTAGCTGTCGGCGAAGTGGTTGCGGCGGTGGTGGCACGCTTGATGGGATTAGGGTTATGGTTTTCCTTTTATGATTTTGTCTTATTGTTGAAGGGCTTTTTTGGCTTTTCCCAATTTTTACTGAGCTGTTTGTTGTAACTTGCATTGGGACGTTTCCAATTAGTAAAATTATGAGAAAACAATTAACCATTGGTTATTATTAAATTTTACTCTTCGAGACAGTAAATTGACTATAACGCTCATATAATCCTTTGCCTTTTCTACCTATTGTGTAATCAACCTATGCAAGAACTTTTATATTCTCAATACATCTCCTCACGAGTACGGCATAATTTATCAAATACGTGGATACGCGGAAATTGGAATACATGCAGCCAAATTGGTTGTACCAGTAGCATGTCAATGAAGTGTCCATCCTAATATCATGTTTAAGTTGAAACATTCAAACTGAAACCAGTTTTAACTTCATCTTCACTACTTGACTAATGCAGTCGCAACATGTTGCTTAAACTACAGTCAACCGATGCGTGAAGAGCCTAAATGGCTGAACAAATCAAATTCCTGCCGTCGTTTATGAGTGATTCGGGCATTCGGCGTTTCAATCCGTGAAAAATTCGCAGTGCACGTCAGTTACGAAATGGAATAGAACAATTTGAACCGGTAGAAATCAAATTTGCAAGGCATCACAGAAATACAGCAGCCGAAAATGATTCACCATCAAGAACTTCTAGTGACAAACAATAATTGCTAAACAATTGGGTTAGCTCATTCTTGCAAGATAGACGACGTTGCACAAGTTTAAATAATAATTGAATGATCTGAAAATATGAACACCAAAATCGGACTGTTGAGCTGTTCACATTCCAGAACTGGCGTAGTTGATTGCAGCGAGCACTCCCTGGAAACGCTTGTGATGTGAATGTTGATGGTGATAGTTCCGGCCATCATCTGCAGCACGTTTACACAGATGTCTCTTCTTGGTTCTAGCAGTAGCTACAACTAGTACACCCCCATCAATACTAGTGTGGTCATTAGGTCTATTTTCATAAATGTGAGTCTTCACTTGATCCACTGCCATTAGGCTCTCGCCGTATCATGTCTAATAGGTCTTGAACAACTTCAGACATTGGTGGCCTGAACTCTGGTTCCGACTGTAGAATATAATACGCGTCAGGAATATGGTTCGCTTTGAAATCAAATTAGTAAACATGTGGTAAATAAAACTTAAGTGTATGAGCATTTAAAGCATATTATATCTCGACCGAATAGAGATACCAGGTATCTTATGTCTATCAACAGAATGATGCCCGTGTTGAAGAATATTACGTCCCAAACTCCATAAAACAAAGTCTTAATTAACTGCATAATTTAAGAAGTCAAAATGATGTTCACCTGAACGCATCGAGATATAATGTCTGCAAAGTGCGATAAAGACTTTGTAGGATATTGTCCATTTAGAGAAGGATCGACCATCCTCGATAATGCAGCAATGTCATGAAGCTGGGTAGTGGCCCATCTAACCAGGAATTGCTCCCCTCGGTTCCTTGTGCTGTGAATTCAAAATTTTCAAATACAAAATCAAATCAGAGGTGGACAGGAAGGAGTGAGAATGCAATTAAGAATTTGTCATTCTTTTCACCTGTCATAGGACTTTCGGCCTGTTAATAGTTCCAACATTACCACCCCAAAGCTGTAAACATCACTCTGACGAGTATAAATTCCAGACTCAAATTCTGGAGCTCCATAACCATAGGCCGCTAGCAGATGTCCTGACAACTGAAAGTAAGAAACAAGTTAGCATTAGTAAGTAGCATTGAGGATGACACTAAGTAGACAATCGAGACACTGCATGTTTTTCAAAAACAAAGTAACAAGGAAGACCAATAGTCCAATAAACAAGCTTCGAGATCAGAAGACGAAGTCAACCAACCAACAGGCCAAAAGCTACAAAAATATAGGGAATATTGGCTCGCACTAGAGTGCACAATTACATCCATCTAAAATGCAGAGGAATCGTTTCCATTCATACATTATTTTTTTCATCAATACTCCTCATTTGAAGGCTACTTATCTATTCTATATATTCAATCAAAATGGAAAAATCGTTCATCACACCAAATTCTCCCACTAATTAAAACCATGAAAAAGGAATACAATACATCTCCCCGAAAGAAAAAAAAACTTAAAATCGCCAATGTTGGTCATGACTCATGAATCATGACCCACACTTTTGTAGACAAAAAGCAGCAACTCTGGAAAAGATGTAGAACAATGACTCACCTGACTAACAGAGCCTGATGAAATCAATGGAGCCAAGCCACAGTCAGAAACGTGCACGGAAAGGTCATCATCAAGGAGAAGGTTGGCAGCCTTGAAATTTCTGTGTACAATAGGTGGCTCGCAGATTTCATGTAAATACCTTCTCAAACAAAATAAAAATGGAGTTAGACTCACTGTATCTCCTATTACCATTGTGATCAGGGAAAAAGACGTGCAAATGAGTAAATTTGGAAATTGTACTCACTCTAAGGCTCTTGCAGCTCCAAGTGCCATTCTAATACGAGCATTCCAGGGGAGTTTCTTCTTGAATTCGTCATCCATGTGCAGAGCATCATGCAGTGAACCATTACTGCAATACTCATAGATAAGAAGCCTTTGACCATGCTCTGCACAGTAACCCATAAGCTCGACAACATTAGCATGCCTGATTCTGTCAATGTTGTTTACCAGTTCAAGGAACTCGTCATCTTTCTGCTGACTGGTAGCTCTCTTGTCCAATTTCTTGACTGCAAGTAGCTGCAAAAGCATCCCAAAAGAATAGTGTCAGTGTCTAAACTATTCTATGCATATAACAGAAACTGCTTGATCGCCTTAGATAGAAGCACATGACACGGGAAGAGAGAAGAATGTCTTCGTGCATACAAAAGTACCCAAAAAAATGAAATAATTCTCTTCATGCAACTCTTTGACGGGGTGTGCCATCCACACACCCCTTTTTACTTCTCACACACCCTTATTAATTTTTGTCCGTTGATCTTCTTCAATTCATCCGATCCGGCTGAAAAATAAAAGGTGTGGGAGAAGTAAAAAGGGGTGTGTGGATATCACACCCCCTCTTTGACCAACTTTTAGTCTTTATAAAGTAAAATATCCACATCTTATCTGTTTAAAGTGAAATTCATAAAAAAATTATTACGAAGTCTTCCTGAAATTGCCTATCAAGTTTGACACTTGATCTCGATGAAAATGGGATCTCTCTACATATCAATTCATATATTCTTGGAAGGAAGGGAAAAATGGTTTTTGGTTTTTTAGAAACTTATCACATAATGAACATGAAGCACTGAATCTCTATATAAAGAATTAGATGCACACATGCCACATGGTTATTTTGCTACTAGATCAATTATATGGTTCAAAAATAACTCTGCTGTTTGAAGTACACATAGCAGATACTAAATAAACCGTAAACAAGAAGGCTGTCGAAAACTATCAAGCAATGCTGGTGGACCTAGCACAACAAAATTGCGAAAATGGTGCAAAACAACAAGCGCCTAACATAAATTTCATTCAACAACTCAGCCATTAAGAAGATGCAATAAAAGAAAAAGCCATCATCAAGAAACAGACCTTTCCGCTAGGTAGCTGTGCCCTATAGACACTTCCCAGCATGCCTGATCCTAGAAGGTTATCCGGAGAGAAGCTGTTTGTATGTTGCTGAAGGGAAGCAATGGTAAACGACTTTGCAGAAATTGTACGATTTGGACTTTTGGTGGAAGGCTTCGGTGTAGGCAGTTTGGTAGGCACAGTTGGCTTCACAATGACCTTCTGAACAGGCGGTGTTGGAGGAGGGGGAGGTGGAGGAGGAGGAGGAGGCATTGAATACGAATCAAGTGCACTCAAACTATCCTCTCGCTTTGGTGGTGCGGCCATTCTACGTACCTTTCTGTCTTGTTCATCATTTGGCTTTGGAATTGCCCATGTTCTTCTGGTTTCTGGCTCATTATCCTCTTTGGGCCTCACAACTTCTTTTGGAACTGTTCACCAAAATTTTAGTGAATTTCTTAGAATAAGATGAATGAAAATGGACGACTGAAGAAACAAATTAAACTGAAGAAAAAAGTGAGAGAATTTACCTTTCTGCATTTGATTGGTTGGTTGAACCACCAAGGACCCATTGTCCCTGGGAGGGTTTTCCCTGTCACCTGTATATGCACCTATTTGATGCCGCTTGGAAATTCTGTCAGCCTCTTCTCTTCGTCTACTACGTCTTGGCATGAAAAACAGAATCGCTAGAATCAAAATAATAAACACCAAAGCCCCTCCAATTGATATTCCAACCACCCTTTTTTTAGTTAGAAATTTCTTCGGCTTTCCAGAATTTGATGCATCTTGTGAAGATGGTCCATCAGCCGATTTGCCAGCTTTTGGAGGACTTCTGCCAGGTGTTTTCCCAGTAGGTGGCCCCCAAAATGCTAGCGGAGGTGCTGGCGGACTCGATGGAGATGTGGGTGATGTTGGTGGAGGGACTGGAGCAAGAGAAGCATTGAATGGATTCCCATCTTTTCTGCATTAAAAATATAAGAATTAGCTACGTGGAGAATCTCTTTCCTTGATAACAATAAAACTTAAAGCTTCATTTAAAGATAAGTCTACAGTGTGTGAAACCGCACTTGAAATTCGGGATGCTCAGCAACTTTTCAGGTATGGGTCCAGCAAAAAGGTTGTTCTCTATATTCCTGTTCAACAAGGCAGAAAATCATTTATGATGGGAAAGAAACAGTGGACATAATCAGAAGGCAAGATAAAACTATAAACTTCTGACTACTGTATATGACAATCAAAATGAGTTGTTTAGAGGATTACAAGTCGCTTAGGGGAAGATCCTGCAAAACATCGAGGGTTCCAGACAGCTGATTGTTCTGCAAATGTCTGCCAATAGAGGAGTTAGCTCAACTCATCGAGATAAACCATGCATAATAAAAACCTGACACAAGATACTCACAGAGTGGTCAGAGTTGTCAGGCTTCCTAGAGAGGGTGGCAGCTGGCCGCTCAAATTGTTACTGGAAATATCTCTGCAAAAAGTCAGTGTGTATATCAGCTACTAATAGTTAACAAAAGTCATACAAAGTATAATTCCGAAAAATTCAGAATAAGAACCTACAAGTTGGTCAACCCTGGAATGCTCTGAAAGGAATCTGGTATTTCTCCGGTTAATTGATTATTATTAAGAGACCTGATTGGCGAAATAGTATATCTTAGAAACAATTATATAAAAAACCGGGAGCTGCTGGGCTGTACCAAAAGCTAGCAAATTGATGACTTACATTGCTGTGAGCACAGCTAACGAGGCTATAGAATCTGGGATGCTTCCGGTGAATTGGTTAGCTGAAAGAAAACTGCCAAAGGTAAAGACTATCATATCTTTTGCACAAGGATGTGAGCAGAACAGGTAGGAAATAATCAGCAGTCTGGGGTTAGTATTTAATATAAGCAGTACGAAATTATTATTTCATGAAGAGGGTTGACGTACAAGCTTTGCAGGGTAGCAGGTAAACTGGATGGAATACTTCCCCCGATATGGTTGTTGCTTAGATCTCTGCACACAAACACCCATGTCAAAGGTCCACAAATGTATCAAAAACATAAGGTCAGCTACATATTATGATGTGAGGCAAGTATTGTACGATCTTTTGCCGACAATTTGCATTCTATATGCAGCGCACTCACACTCCATCGAAACAAGTCACTTGTCAAACGCACTATCATCCTAATGAGCATGTTGAAAACCATCTAGTGATGAGCTTTGCACCCCACACTATCATCCAAAGTCAAAAACTCGAGTAAAAAAAATACGTGGTGACCTTAAACACAAAAAGCCCATACAAACTAATCAAACCTAAATCTACTCGCAATCACCCCATCATGCATATCACTCCCATTTTGCCTGTTTTGTCTTGAAATGAAGAACAATGTAAAGGATTTTAATGCCAGTGAATGAAAAAAATTAATTTGGAGCAAAAGATATAACAAACCAGCAATCTCGCACATGTACACAATCATCAAGTTCAACCAGAAAAAGAGAGTACAACTTACATTGCCCGTATTGAAGAAAACATTCCCAAGTGTTCACCCAGTTCTCCTCCCAAATTAGCGCCATTAAGAACACTATAAAATCATCAGAACCATAAACCACTGACAATTAACAGGTTACGAAAAAAAATTATATAAATAAAAGAAGCCGAGCAAAGAGATTAACGTACATTTCCAATATTATAGAATCGTTGCATTGAACACCTTGCCATGCTTCACCACACGGGTCTCCTCCAGCGGAAGTCCACCCAGGAAGAACAGGCGTGCCAAGCGAAGCATGTAAGTTGTTAATTGCAGCAACTGATCAAACCACAAGTAAAACACATACAATAAGTGTTTAAATCTCCAATTAACCATATGAAGTAAGAAAAACGATCAAGTAAACATATTTCCACACACAATTTCACTAAACTAACGCATATGAACTCCGAAACTACCAGACCGAAGCCACATTATAGCGAAAAATCTATCGAATAAGAAGAGAATTACCATCAGTAGAACTAGTTGCTCCAAGAGAAACTTGAGCAAAGTAGATCAAAAGCAACCCCACTGAAACCTCAGCGTAGATCTTCAACTTCTTGTGCTCCAACACAGATCTCTTCCTTCCCATTGCTCTCAAATTTTAGTTTACTTCTCAATCCCCTTTTCTCTATCCAATCACTCACACATCATCTTCCAATCTGAAAAGCAATTAAAAAACAAATTAAAAGAGATTACTAAATAATAAATATTAATACTTTACATAAACAGAAAACAACCCATGATCTTAACTTCCCAGAAAACGAAAACCCAGTTGCCAAAATTCAAAGATAAACAACCTCATAAGAGAATCCAACATACAGACAAGCATATGGTTCATGTAAAAAAGCAACGAGATGAACTTACAGAGAAAATGGAGAGGTGAAGTACTAATTAACCAAATGCTGAGTGAAACCAATGGAAATTATTGAATTAAATAATGCAGGAAAATGCAGAGAGCTTTGCGGAAAAGGAAGTGATTGCTTATCCGGGATATTTTTAGTAGGACAAGATAAAAAAACCTTAGACGCTAAGATGCAATGGATCAAGCAATGGAAGTGAGGGATGCGAACATAATTATCGCGTCATAATTTGGATTTATATTTACCGGAAATTGTTTTTTTAAGCCTTGGGAGAAAAGAAAGAGGTGGAGAAAAAGGCAGAGGAAACTGCAGAAAGTTCGGGGAGAGAGTGAGGAAGGAGGGGGTGTGTTGTGAAGCTCTGAAACCCTCTTCGTTCTCTCTCTACTTTCTGTTCTTTCTTTCTCTCTCCTTCCACTATCTTTCTCTCTCTAAACTTCTCAACACTGTATGCGTGTGCGTGTAAGTCATGCATATCTCTTTGTAAGCAAAAGGGTGAACATCAATTCCACGCTCTCTGTGGGGCCCGTGTACATTTATTATATTTGAGATTTATCTTCTAAGAATAATAATATCTCAAAATATTTTTACTTTACTTTCATTTGTAAATTTTGGGATAAATATTGTGAGGATGCTTGAATCTTGTGAGTCCATCTCAATTTGTGGCTAATGAATTGCACATCTTAAACGTGGGAAGATATTTTTTTCAGGTGTATTTTGCTCTTTAGAAGCATGAAAACAAAAAACTTAATGACTACCATGTTTTTTTGTGAAAATTGAACGCATTAATTGTGTGCTCTGTCTAAAAAAATTCCTTCTTTGAATATAAGGTTCAACGCCTTCAAATATTATGTAATCTCTTAATACTTTCAATTTAAGTAGAAAAAGCAAGTGTATTTATTGCAAAATTCTATCGTTTTACATATTATGATTTTCTTTTTGAAAAACAATTGAATGTAGAATTTAAACTTAAGATCATTTTCAACAAAATAGAAATTGAGCGTTGCTTGATCATATGATAATCATGTACGAAGTCTTTAAAAGTTGAATCAACGAAGGAGAAAACTAGGAATGCATTTTTGTTATGTTACTAATACTTGTGCTTAATTAAAAACAATAGACCATATATTAATTCCATATTTCCATCCTTTCTTTCCTTTCTTTTTTTTTTTTTTTTTTGAAAAATTAAATAAAAGAAAAATACCTCAAGAAGTTTTATTTGGACTGAAATTAGATGACAAAAAAAAAAAAAAAAAAAAAACATTTGCCATGGTAGTGTTTGTGTTCCCACGCTTACCCCGCGCGCGTAACTTGACAAATTAAGGGACACCGGAAAACTAATTTTCAAAAGTTTTCTTACTATGCAGTCAATAATAGCCGCCAGTTTTCTATGGGCCTCACGTGTTTCGTCGGATGATTACTATGGGCCTTTTGTTTAGCTCATTGAAAGCCCAAAAAAATTAATATATTTAAAAATCCGCTGTAAACAAAATTTCGAAAACGGTCATAAGTTTTGACTTTTCCCAGAAGCCCGTCTGGATGAGGAGCGTTGGAATATTTTTGTCATAAACGTTAGGGTGTGGAAATAAAATTGTAGGTCAGAAAAAGCGCTTTTGAAAGAAGCAATTTTATCTGCTTTTTTTCAGAAAAGTCAGAAGTTGTAAGAAAAATTGGAGAAAAAAATGGGTATCTGAAAAAAGGGCAGCAGATTTTAGCTGTCACTTAAAGGGGAATCTATCTGATAAGGGCCAATTCAGCCCACCGACTAAATTGAAACGCCAACTTTTGTGTCGTTTTGTTCACGTCAGCAGATTTAATCATAGTTTAATGTGTCTGTTTTGTCCCCGGAAGAAATAGTATATTACGGCGACACCACGGCTGAATTAAGGTTCTATTAGGTTTACTATATTTATGTGTTTTACTCAATTATTGATCAATATATCACATGGCACAATTTACGGTATAATATATCTGCTCTCATCTTTCAATATTCATTAAATTCATATGAAGGCAGTGTCATACGCGCGTGAACTAATTCTGACCATTCATATTTGAGAATTAAGATAATTTCATGTGCTTGTGTGAGATTTCATTATTGCATAATTTATGGTGATCATAAAACGTGATCATTGTCTCAAAATTTATTGTAAGGTCAAGAGCTCCACCCCTTTATAACAAAAGGAAAACAAAGCTTATTTTTCATGGACATAGTGATTTGGTCTAAGATTTGTATAAGCATTTTGATTCAACAGAGAGAAAAGGGGAGCAGGATTATCTTCCCTTCAAATCTTCTTTCCTCCCCTCTCGTCCTCTCATCCTCTCACTTTCCTCTTTGCCTTTCTCTCTCTATAAGTCAGCACAAGATGTTGAAATGGAGCGTTCAAATAGGAAGGAACGGGAGGGGAAGGAAAATAGAGAGGAAAAAAATCGAGATCCAAAAAAACGTAAGCGTGTCAGAAATATGTACACTATTATTAACATTAAAAGTCTAAAACAAAAAAGGCCAACTATTCATAGTATAGTTGCAATAATGAACGAGAGATTTTACGATCGAATTTTCTTTTTACAAACAAAATAAATTAGATAATGCATGAATTTGGAGGAAGGAAATTAAATGATATTAATGAATGGGCATATCTGGTAGTGGAGTGGAGGAGAAAAGCATAGAAAGCAACATAATAACTGAATTTTAGCTATGAATAAGGCTGGCTAGGTCACACTCATATTTTTTGACCAAAAAAAAAGTCATACTCGTATTATTAAAACATGGAATTTGATTTGGATATCTATACATATTTAGTGCATGCTAGTCTAAGCTAAGTGTGTGTATGTATATATTGGATAAAGATGGTACTATCCACACACTTATTTTTATTCTACAAGTATCTTCTTAATTTTCAATCATCAGATTAAATAAATTGAAGAAGAACAATGAACAAAAAATAAACAAGGGCATGTGTGAAGTAAAAAATAGTGTGTGAATAGCACTACTCTATGGGTAATACTTGCATTTGCAAATAATATATATTTATATTAGAAATTTATAATTGAAACCGTTTAATTTTAAACCATCATTTGAAAATCATCCTTACAAATAATTATTCGATCGGAAAATGTTTAGTCATTCAAATGTATCTCGTAAATCAACAATCTATGTATCAAGTAACATATTCATGACGAATTGTTAATTTATTTATTACACTCGGATGACTAACCGGTTTCTAATTCAAATAAATTTGCACTCAGATACCTTCAAATGAAGGTTGAAAATTCAATCTTCTGATTATAAAACTTTTGTAATGAAAAAAGGTTATTTGTAAATGAGGGTATGAATTCATCCTAAAAGAGAGAAAGCAAGTAACTATTCCCTCTATATATATCCAAAGGTATCTAATAGTGACAAAGCCATGTATGCCATGCATTACCTAATCCATATCCTTCTGTCGACATCGACAAACCGTTTCTATCTCACTCCTTCAGAATGTTTATTATTATTTATAGGATCTTTGGTGCTGGTGGTGCTCCTTTCAATTCAATTGAATAGATTCTCGACTTAAGGTTGATGTTCATGTGCTTACTGGCTGTACAAATCCATGCCCAATCACAATTTGACACCCTTGAATCAAATATCTTTTGATATCACTATTTTAAGACCTCTCGTTTTCTTCTCCACCACATAACACCTTGTCTTAGGTCACAATTAGAGGCATGTGCCATGGTATTACTAATTTTGAACCACTATAAATTTTATCGTCTACTAATATTATAACACTTAAATTAATAATATCATTACGTTCAGTAATCAACTTGTTGAGATATTCATAACCATATATGCATGCAAGTGTAAATTTATGATTTGAACGTTAGCACCATATGGTTCTTGGTATCAAGGGGCAAACCCTACATAAAGTTCTGATTCAAATGCAGGGACCGTTATGTTGTTGGTTGTATATATATGTATAGACCCCTTATGCAAAGGGATCTCTATTTTTTCCAAAAAATGGGGACTAGGTATGGGGTTCACTCCACATTGAACTTCAATGATCTGAACTGTCTAGTTCGTAAGTTTTGATTCATAGATCATCCTTGGCAAAATTTAATTCAATCCAAAATCATTTGCCTATTTAACTATGAAGATAAAGTTTCGTTGTTTTTTATATAACAAAGTATTCGTTAATTTTTTTTAAACCCAATTAGATGTCTTAAATATTTCTGATTTGGCTAATATTTTGCAAGGATGATTTATGAGGTGTTCGGATCATTAAAATTTGATATTGTGTGGATCCTACAACTAATCCTCATTTTTATGAAAAAATAGGGATCTCTTCCCTTAAAGGTATATATATGGAAGCCTTTAAGGGGAAGGGATCCTCAATTTTTTTTTAATAAAAATTGGATTATTTGTGGGGTCCACACCACATCGAACTTTAAAAATCTGAACCCTCTATTTTAAGTTGTACCTCATAGATCATCCTTGCAAAATATTAATCAAATTGAAAATATTTAAGACATATAATTGGATTCAAAGAAATGAATGAATACTTTGTTATATAATAAACAATAAAATTTGATATTGATAACTAAATAGGCAAATTGTTTCAGATTGAATTGAATTGTTGCAAAGATGATCTATGAATTGAGACTTACAAAATAGATGATTTGGATAATTGAAATTCGATGTGGAGTGAGCCTCACAACTAATCTTTTTTTTTTTTTTTTTTCGAAAAATGAGAATCCATGTACATAAATGGCATATATAATATAATATGATAAATTCTCTATATTCCAACAAAAATAGAATTCTCCACTTATCGGGACCAATCCACACAATTGACTAATTGAGCCCATTATGTCCAATCACGTGAAATCCCATCGTAGGATTAGCTAAGTTAAACTTATTGTTTATTCTCTTTTCGTCGACATGGAATGATAATTGAGCATCATTTAACGTGATGACAAGAATCTCGTAGCGAGTGAGAGGAAATGGCCTTTATTTGTTTCAACATTTTCTGTACTTTAAAAGCGTTTTATTTTTGTTTATCGATAAGACACTATTTTTTATACAAACGACATTGAGGATGATGGGTCTGAATTAGCCCTCTACAGGCCCCTCACAATGGTCCACTCTATTTGAAAATCATATAATAAAATGATTTTTATCGAAATTGTGATACGTCCCTCTTGAAGAGTTTGCAAGATAGACCTTTTCAAAGAGCTAATATATATATATATATATTTTTTTTTTGTCGATAGCTAAATATAATCTTACGGGCACCAATTTTTATCCCGTGATATTGTAAGCTAACATTCCATTTGTCAATATTTTGGTTGAACCTTTATTTATAAAACCGATAAGTAACTATTATGTCACGATGATTAAACTTTTATAATTTTTTTTACATTTTCAGTTATGTTTTATGACCAATTATTTACCCTTTCTGGATTATATT